TGCTCCCCTCCAGCATCCAGAGGCTAAAACGTTACGGGGTCTGGAGGGAAAGCAAAGATTTGCTCTGGATGATATCAACATTTTTTCGTACATGCTGCTGTTGGGCACTGTACTTGTTCAGTTGCAGAGTCTGCCTCGGTTTATCTGGTGAACCAGCACAAGGTGTTGGTGAACTTGTGCTTTCTGGGCATCAGTCAGAGGCCTGTGATATGCAGGCTTTGGGCAGCAGAACAGGATGAATTTAAATCCTGCCTCTTGCTAAATTGGTACTTATATTTGTTGAGTAGCACAAGATGGCTTTAGGCCCTTTTGGTTTTGTTTTGTTCAGGTAATGACACTGTGCCCCGAGCTGTTTTTTGCAGCAGTGGCCTGTCAGTGTCCCCGCTCTGTGTGGGCTGATTGCTCCCTCAGAGAAAAAAAATGACGAGTGGGCAAGCATAATTACAGCCTGATGGGGGCTCAGGATCAGACCTGGAACATGAAATCAGTTTGAACTCCACTACTGAATTACTGATGTTGCAGGTTGTCCCTGTTAACTTTTATAAAATAAAAGGTGGTATTTTCTGCAGTGAGTTGGTGGTAGTGAAACCAAAGGCTCTTTTTTTTTTTTTTTTTTTTTTTTAAATAGAGCTTTAAGCATATGTGAATACATCTATTGTGACAATTTTGATGGTAGAGAAATTACCCTTTTGCTACAGTGCCACAAAAGAAGAAAACCAAGCAAGCCACCTCTGCAGCTGGTGATAATTCCAGTGCAGCAAATGGAAATATGTGCTAAGGACTGCACGTCCGTAGCAGCAGGAAGCTGCTGATAATTGTTGCTGTTTTAGTGGATGAAGGTGATGTGGAAAACCCTGGACAATTCCGTAACATGCTGCATGCCAATAAGAGGGTATTACTTCATTTCCCCCTTGGAGGAGGTGCGAACTTAATTGTACAAGGCTTTTGGGGTTTTGCCTATTCTCCGTATCATCTATTTATAGTTCTCATTAGCTCTTATTTCAGATTGGCTGATGATAGGACTGCTGTGGAATAGTGTAATTTTAATTTGCCATCCTTGCAGGAGGTTTTAGATTCAACTAACCTAGCTGTATGGCAATCCCAGGTGTTGCAAGGAGTAGGTACAACAGTCTGTGTTTTAAAAGGCTTCGTGTAATGTGGGAGCATGTGGATAAAAGCATTTTACAATGTAACATGCCCAGCACTTCTCCTCCCCAGTGTGTTGTCCGACATAAAACAGATCAAGCTGTGAAGGATTACTGAATAATCTTTTTTATTTTTCTGAGAATGGAAACGTGTTGAAAGTGTTCTCACGCCATTGAATTAAGGCCTAGATATGAGACCAAAGTGAGGAAGAACAGATTTGACAAATGACTAGAGAGCAGGGAGATGTTCTGAAACGCTGCCGATGTTTGCTTTAGGGATAAGAAAGGTAAATTTGGGAGAAGACTCAAGTGGTAAGTGGGTGTGGGAGAGATCAGAGAATGTTTGAAGAAGAATCTGATTAGCAAGCTGCAAATGTTAGATGAATTTTGGGGTTTTTTTCCGAGCTAATTTGTTGCTATATTAAAATTTCAATAATTTGCAGCTGTAATCTTTATACAATACTCTCGTTTTTCTTAATGTCAAAAGACTGACACATTACAGTCGCAAAAGCAATGTATTAGGTAAATTGAGGGAGTACCACTTGCATTTTGAGGTTACTTTTTATTGAACTTCCCTTTGAAATAGATAGAGCCTCACTCCAGTACCTCCATACATCACCTCCCATTCAGCAATCTTAATTTGAAAATAACTAAACGTGTCCTTGTGTTAAAGTACACAACCCATTCTGGTTCTTTCCTTGAACCTAATTCCTGTTTGCCAGTTCCTGCACAGCTGTGGTTTCAGTCCTTACTGATCCCTCAGGCACTGGGAGCCCGTTTGGGTCCCGGGCCCTCTCGTGGTTCTGGTTCTTGAGAAATGTTCATCTTTTTAGAGGTGCATGATTACAGATATAGGTAGAAGCCGACTACTTATATTTACTGTTCTCCAAATTGCGGTGAGCATGTGGTCACCAGCACTGATAAAAAGATTTCCAGCTGCAAAGCATCTTTGAATATATGGCAAATACATGTACTTGGACATGGATTTGGATTGAGTGTCTGAGCTTAGTGACTGATGTTTAGTCTTGCAATGTAGCAAGGATTTAATTTATTTTTTTTCTGTGCAGTGTGCTGCTTTTGAGTTGTTTTTTTTTTAAGGCTACTTTTAAAATTACTATTTGCTATTTTGGTATTTTGAGATAAATATATTATCTTCTATTAAATTCTGCTAGTAGATTAAATTCAATTATCGATTAAATTAGATCTAATTGTTTAATGTGTATTTAAACATTGTTGGCTTTTCTTAACAGTGTTTTTTTCCCCCACTTGTTACCTCAGATAGGCAACCAAATAATCACACAAGCTTGCTGGACTTTTCTTTGTTGTTAGCTAAATCAGAGCAGGGATTATGGTTGGATTCCACCAAAGTGGGGGCTAACAGCATTGGTATGGCAGAATACTCCTGAATCGTACATCAGCGTGTGAGGTAATCTTTAATGAATATTTTGCAAAGCCTAAGCTATTGCAAATGATTTTGAGAATTCAGTGTTAAATAAGATGTCTAGGCGTATTGTCCAATTTTTTCAACACCTATGTTTGTAATATTTTCTAGCTCTCAAGTTAATGGAAATATTTTAACCATAGTATGATGCTAAATTATTGTGGGAAAAAAAAAAAAAGCTAAAAATTAACCTTTGACCATAAAATTGAACTTTGCAAATACATTGATAAATTAGTATTTGTATACAACTTTCTGATCCAGTTTTTAGTACTAGATATGGTGTCTTTGTGCACCTCTTCTGCAAAATGTGCCTCTGAGCTTGGGAATACATGAATGTTCTTGATGGGTTTGGCTGCTCTTGTTCTTGAAATTCCCGAGCAGTGATGCATGAAGTGTGGTAGGTGGTATGTAATTTCACAATGGTAGATGAGGTATACTACTTAGAACTTAAATTTTAGGTTGAAATTGCCCATATTAGGATTTTTATGTTGGCTTTTTTTTTTTTTTTTGGCTATAAACCCAATATTTAATAAGTTCCATACTTGAAAAGGACTCTTTTTTTTTCGGCCTTCAAAAATTATTTGAGCATTAGTTGATGTATGGGAAGTAATTAGGTCATTGAAACAAGACTAATAGTTTAAAGAATTTGTCTTAATGGGATACAGAAGTTGAAGTGATACTTCTGAAAAGATTTTGTGGATGTTTAAAATATTTTTTGGTGATTCAGAGAGGTGAACTTTAAAGAATAAAAGTATCTTTCTCTACAAAAATATTTGTCCAGTGTTTTTGTTTAAAATAAATATTCTTGTGTTTGTTTAGCAGAGTTGACTCGGCTTTGGTTGGTTACCATAGTTCAGCATTGTTTTTGCATTTCCATGTGAATTTCTAGTAATTCCCAGGCTTGGTTCAGGTTTTGGGGTTCTTGTCGTATTGCTTCCGTTAGCTGCCTGTGGAGCAGGCAATTCTTCGTTGAATTTGGAAAAACATCAAACATGACTTAAGTCTTGATCTAATATCCCTCAAATGTCACTCACTGCTCAAAAATCAAATAGTATCTAGTAACACAGTGGCTGCGGACAGAACCAAAAGATAAAAGGCTTCGCTTCTTTTAAATTAGTTATCTGACGGATAGCTACTATGGCAGGTCAGTGCTGATTGTATAAGCTAATATGCTGTTCAAAGATGTTTTGAAAAACGAGGAAAAAATTAGAATCAAAATCTGCTGCAGTGATAGGGGGAGCAACTTTAGAATTATAATATGCTGCAGTGGTAGGCGGAGCAAGGACAGCTTCATAGCATTTTCTAGCTGAGAGGTTCCAGCTGAGTGGTGAAGTTCAACTGTTGTTTTGTGTAGCTGTAGCTGTGCAGTAGTTGGTTCTTGGTTTGTGTTGTCAGCAAAGTTGTTCCCTCACCTCTGGTTTCCTGTTTGCTGGCCGCCACTGCTAATACTAACAATTTTTCAGTCTTGTCATGAAAGCTGAAAGCAGTAACTGTGTGCCTGGGGTTCCTGAGGAGCTCAGTTAGTCTTCTGTAGGGTTTGGATTGGAAGAATAAAAGGCTAGGAGGATCAAATAGGTGTTGAGTTTTGGCCTGACCTTGACTTCTTTGTCTGAATTACTTCCTTTATCAGCCTTTGTTACTTTGTTTGATCCTGGTCCCCTGCTTAACCCCAGCTTCTGCCTTTTGCCGCTCCAGTTATATAGATGCAGCCTTCACTTGTAGGTTGGATTGTTTCTGCCCAACAAAAATGCTCTCTTAAGCAATAAAATTACAAATAAATCTATAACTTAATTGAGTCTGGTTAGTAAATGAAGTAATTTGGTAGCCTCGCATAACCAAGAGCAGTACTGTACTGGAATATAGGCACTCTAGAGTACAGGGTTCATGAATTAAGATAAAATAGTGTGTTTTTTGTCTCTGAGTGAGTTCTCTTAGTTGGTTTCTGTTTAAAAGTTGATGGGGTTGGAGAAATACAAGTAAGGGTGAGAAAGAAATTCATATTAGGGTATTGACAAATTTAAACCCTAATTTCATACACTGGAGATGTTGATGAAGCTTTTGATAAAACTTGAGTTTGCATGCACTTGAACACTGTGTTGGTCATCCAGAAAATCTGAATGTGGCATGTACTGGAATCTTCATTCCTGTTTATTGCAGTTTCATATTTAATGACTAGAGGGACCAGAAGGTACTGTTGACTATTAGAAGTTAATTTTTGGTATTATGTGGGCTACCTGGGTAGATAGAATGACTTTGAGAATGTTCCTTGGAAAAAAATATTTTAAGTCATTTGATGGATGTTTAAATTGTATTCCTTAAATAGTGTTACTGGATAATACCTGTGCATAATTAGACTAATTTTGAGCTAAATTTGCTCTTTGTTTTTTTTCTCATTTCTTTCTTGACAGGAGAAAATGGCCAAAATGGAAGTCAAGACATCACTTTTAGATGACATGATAGGGGTGGGAGATATGGTTCTTTTAGAGCCACTTAATGAAGATTCCTTCATCAACAATCTGAAAAAGCGCTTTGATCACAATGAAGTATACGTGAGTATATGTTCATAAATAACATCCTATGAGGAGCTATGTTGTCATTCTTATAATATGTGTTTGTTTATTTATGAGGATACACATAGACTGAATGCCTGAACATAATCTATTGTATTAGGGATATTTTAAACCTCACTTGTGCTGTAGTCTTTCCTGTACTGCATTGTTTGCATTTGATCTTTTCCATCTGAGATATTTTTCCTTTTTCTTTTTCCCCATCACACAACATGGTGGACTTCTGATTTACATAAAAAGCAGTTCCAGAACTGATGATGACAATAACTTTGATTCTTCTGTTGTCAGAGGACGTTGCAGTTATAAATAATTCACTTCCAGGATGTTAGAGCAGGTTGATGTAGAAACAGTATATGCTTGGAATATGCTAGGGCTAGCTTTGATTTGCAAAAAAGTTATGTTTATTAGAATGGCTGGATTTTAAACTAGAAACAATGAGCTTGGATATATGTGGAAGTAATCAAAATCTTCAGGCATATTAATCTTAATAGGAGAGAGGTTGTGAACTGACAGTTGAAACACAGGCTGGGAATGAAGAGGCAAATTGTGATTCCAGTTAAGCCTTTCATTTCCTGCTTCATCTCTCTTTGTTCCATTTTTGTTAAAATGTGCACAGTATTGTATCTGTTGTACTGCTGAGGCTATGAGAACATAATGATTTCTAGAGACTTTCCAAGACCGCTAGTGAAAGATAAATCTTTTAAGAGTAAAGCTGAAATATTTAAGCCAAAGTATTACTGTGATCTGCAAGCAGTTGTGTCTGCAGTTTATTATAATCAAATGGATGTGTTCTGTACTTAATTATAACTTAGCCTTCCCCCTCCCCATTTAATTTTAGTGTGACTATATTTTTCCTTCTTGCTAAGCATTTGAACCTTTGTGGTTTCATTATACTTTTTCCTTTCCATCCTCCAGTATGGGAGGATCTGTATTATTTTTGTTTGCTTCTGTTATCCCTTAGTCTGTGCTTTTGACCTCTGCTATTCATTGTCTGCCGCATCTTTCTTTTGGAGTCATTTTCCTACTCAGCCATGCCTGTTTCCTTTTCTGTAGGCATTTACTTGGCAATATACAGTTGCATCTATCTGCTATTGTATCACTTCCACCTACTTGTTCCTTAAGTTTTGACTGACAACCAGAAAATTAAAGACGAGGACTCTCAGTATGCATAAAACTTTGTTGGAGAAGAAACCAAACCGATCTGTATTTGTGGAAAGATTTCTTCCACAATAGTTAAAAAAAAAATCTTTCTGCTATCTTTGAGAGTTATGTTTCCAAAAACGTGTGTCTTAAATTTCCCTTGTTCCTTGAAGATGTAGCCTGTTCCCTCTTGGTAGCCCTTAGATATTGATACAGGTATGTAGATATCAGACTCCTCTTTGCTGCCCTTTCATCCTGCTTCTGTGAGTCTTCCACATTCAACAGCTGCACTGGCTGCCTCTGCTGGGATTCAGAGGTTTTTTCAGTTGAGTGGCTTTGATAAACCTGTTTCACATAAGTTTTAGGGTTAACTCTATATTCCTAATACTGACAGTAAAGGTGGGTGATACTGGATCATCTCATTCTACTTTAGCTCAAGAAAATATGAAGGAGAAGAGAAGGAAAGGGAGCTGTTTGCCTAGAGATTGAAGTACTACCTTGCGCAATCCTTGGGTCATATTTGAAAGTTTTATTTAAAGCACTGAGGATAGAAACCTATTCTGTGAGTGTACCCTAGACTAAGCAGTCTCTTAAGAAGGATTGCTGTAAGTCAAATCTTTAGAAAGATTTTTTTTTTAATGTAAACTACTGTGAATTGCAAAGTATTTAATTACATGTTTCTACTTAATTTGGATTGGATAGCTTTTTCTTGAAAGAAATCAGTTTGAATAACAAATGGGTAATCTGTTTTATTTTTATCTGCTATTACATGCTAGCTGACAAGCATGTTCAAACACACAGTCCTTTGAGACGGTGATGGAGAAGCACGTATTTCCCCCAGTTTCGGATTCGGCTGGGCCTGGCACTGACGTGCAATGTAATTAGCTGTATTATGTGCTTTAGCAGGTGAGACAAGGTGTCGCTTTTCTCTAGCAATGTAGGATCATTTGTCTTGCAAGTGGGAAAGCCTAATACGTAAACGTGTTCTGTTGAGAAGCGTGAACTGTTGCCAAAACCAAAGGATTTTTTTTGTTTTATTGTTGGGTTTTTTTCCCTGAATCATTCCCTTACAGTTTGTTGCATATCATTTACCCTTTTTATCTCCAGATTTGTTTGATCATGTGATTATTTTTTTTTAAGGTCTTACAAGTACTGTTTGTGAATCCATGCTATGGAGGCAAAACATTGCAGATCTTTGCAAGTATTAAAACATTCACTACATCACAGATGTTTACGTCTGTGCCACATGCTGTTACCAAGTGTATAGGTTACTAAGTTTGTGACTGCATGGTTTTATTTACCAAAGCACCCAAGAATAATATCTCCTTTTCCTATCAGTTGGGTTCTGCTGCCCTGCAAATTTCATGCCACTGTTGCATATTTTAGAAAACTTTTAAAACAGTAAGAGTTGGAACGGAGCTCACAGTAACAACTGCATGTTAATTTTCAAGTGCAAACTCTTCTCTCCCTTCTCCTTATTGCTACCCACTCTCTTCTCCCCAAACTTCACTCATGAAAACTACACTTTGCATTTCTGTTTTCAGACTCAGATGAGCACAATGAAGCCTTTGTTACATCTGGAAGTAATGTTTGTTTTGCCATGTAAAAGCCATAGTTTGCATGCTATCCAGGGGAAACCAAATTGGACTATTAAAGAGCTACCGTTGGTGTTTAACAAAGCTGCAGATTTCTTCAGCTCCAACAAGCAACACGAGTTGACCTCTCGGGATCCATTCAGAGGGCAGTAGGAATGGATTTGTGCTTTCATGGCTCAGTTGTGGGGTTAAGTTCACCTCTCATGTCAGTGCTCCATTGTAGGCATTACCAAAAGTTGTGTCAAAGTTTAAAAAAATGAAGTCAAACTGAAGCCGTATGAATGGATCAAAACATTTCTACAGCAGAAAACCAGGGCTTACTCAAGATCAATTTCTAAGCAGCTTTCTGTAGACTGATGGCTGTGTCTGTGCTACATATGTTAGTTTTAAAATGGAGTTGCAGTTGTAACCTGCAAAAGGGTTTGTTGTGAAGCATGAGACCTGTAAATTGAATAGCTTTGAAAATGCTGTAAATTGGCCAGACATTGCATAATCATGTTAGCCAGTCTTGGTAGGTAAATGTGAGAGTCAGATCGAGCCATCAGTGAAGAGTGCTAAATCTCTCCCCGTAGCCAAAGATGACAATATAAATGGGCTCATTGCACTGGAAGAGAATGCAATTTTTGTCTTTTCTAGTCTCTTTCACAGTAGTTATGTTTGACGCTGAATGTTTGATGTTGGAGATCCTAGTGCCAGCTCCATTTACCCCTTTGAAATTCCAGATCTTGTCCATAAGAGCTCCCCTTGCAAGAGCATTCACATCCTGATCCCCTGACAGTCCTCTTATACCACCCTGGGCACGGTCACTGTAAGCCCTTCAAGAAAATTAGCTAAGCTGCATGCCATGGTGCAAACAGAGCAATAAGAATACTCCTAACAGTTAGAGAACACGCTACAGCTTGATTACCTGTTGTTCAATTTTATGTGTATGTGATGGAAAGTTTAATGGACTTGGGTGTTATGTTGCATACCAGAGTGCAAAGCTGGAGGCTGTGCCTATAAAAATACGCATGAAGGCTGGTGGAGCTGGAGTTTGGCCAAATATTCTACTAAAGACCATCAGATTCCGCAGTAATCTCATGCTGAGTGGCTTTGGGGGGGGGGGAAGGTCTCATTGGGTAACACGCATGTGTTAATTGGAAATGGGAATCTTGGAGTTTAGTCATGTCTGGAAATGTCTGAGGTATGTCTGACCAAGAAAAATCTCATTAAAAAGCTGTAATTGTTTATTATATTCTTTTTGCAACACTGAAACTCTTCATTGATAAAATTTGCATTGTTTTTTCACAAAAGTTCTTTTCTGTAAATATCAGTAACAAAAGCTTGTGAGAGTTTGACTTTACAGAGTAAAAGGTGGCTCATGGGCAATGCAGTTAGCAAGTAGAAAAACCCACAATGTTGATTATATGAAGGTTCCAGAGAGCAGTTTGTGCGGTTAAATTGCGTGACCTAGAGACCGCATGGAAAACTTCAAATACATTCATAAGATTCAGTTTGTATGTCACTGATGAATTCAACTCATTCTGTTGAACTCCCTTCCTGAACTTTTCTTTTTTTTTTTTTAATTTTTTTTTAAGTTGGCTGAAATATGCTCAACGAATCCAGCTCAGCAATTATTTTTCCTTTGTATTTTGGGATGATGACAAATGGGAGGGGGGCATCTCTCTATATGTGTATTTACAGTGACTCATGAATTGTAGAGATTTGGGTTAAATTGTAGCATATGTATTGGTCTGAAACTTATCTTTGTACTGGGTTTGTTGCTTTGTGAGATGTGTGGAAGTGGCCAGGGAGGTGTGAGGAGCCTGGAGGGGAGCGCAGCTGCGTAGGCTCACGGGAGTCAGCCTTTAGAGGCCAGATACAGCTTAATTGTGCTGCCCTGCACATTTTTCCCCACAGTTATGTTGTTTCTTGAAGTCCTCCCAAATTTGTAGAGGTCAATGTTTTGTTCCTTACAACAAAATGTTTGTTTGCTTTTTGTTCTTACAACAAAACAGAATCTTTCTCTGATGTCAGCGTTTAATTTGTATTTTCTGCGCGTGGAGTTTGTGGGCTGCTTTGGGCAGGAACAGTCTTATGGTACTGAACACATGTTGTTTTATCACTGCAATATTAAATATTTGGCATTCCAGTATAATAACTCAGTGTTAGCTGTTTGAGGTAGCATCCTTGTGGCCGCCTTCTGGTGGCGTGGCTATTGTGGTGTGCTTGTTTCGCAGACTGAGCTGCTTCCTGTTGATCTCTGTT